TCTCTGCACGCCAGCACCCGCGATCCGCCTCTCCGATCGTCGGTTCGCGGTCGTCGGTAGCGCAGTCGGTAGCGTATCGGGCTACAGATCCGAGGGTCGTGAGTTCGAATCCTGGGAGCGCCGTGTGATTTCGGCTATAATTAAATGATGTAGATTCTTGAATGTTTGCATAATCAATTATTAATAGCTAATTGAATGTATCTGCCCATTAATCGGCCCTTAAAACCTGTTATTTAAGAAATTTAAGAAATGATTGTCACGTGCGCGTCACGACTGCCAACCATAAGCGCTACCATATTCTAGATTGAACTAACTTTTGGCTAGTCCCGACCACATATAGTAGGTTTTCTAGTAGTTATACTAGAAATTCCTACCAAAGTTCGTCCTACCCTTCACTCAATATACCCTGTGATGACCTGACCTTGACCTGAAAATCAAAGTACAAATTTGGTACCCTCAGGGTAACTAGAGCATCTGTTCCCGAGTGTGTGATCCAAAAATGAGCCTGATCTGACTTTTAAGACGGCGGCCAGAGCCCAAAACGTGATCAAGCCAAAATGCTAATAATTTTTACTTTGACCTGACCTGTGACGTCATCGGTGATAGAGGTGGCAAAACTGGAAAATTTTGGGACCCGGACCCGGACCCGGTCTGACTGGCACATTTCTGGAACCGGTCAGACCCGGTCTAAGTCAGCGTTGGAACCAGATGGACCCGTTCCCGAAATTCATTATGAAAATTGTGTACAATTGTAGGTATAGCAAAAGAAAATAGTTTCTTTCCAATTTGGCATACTTGTGTTGCAAAGTAAAAAACTCATGCCATGGTCATTTCACTTCGCTTCGTAGTTTGTATTTTGGAACCAGATTCAGGTCACATTTAAGAATATAAGAAGTAAGTAGACCAATGAATTTCATGCTAACCTAAGCCACTTTTACTACAGCTGCTAAAAATGATGTGAACTGGGGATCCATGGACCAGTGCCTTCACCAGAGTCAGAACAAGAACCCAACATCAACATGGAACAAGATAGCCAATAACCATACCAGACTTGTGCCGTGACCAAAAATCAAGGTCCAAGATCCTCAAGGTCCCTCGGTAAATTCAATTTCTAGAATCCAAGGTTTCCAAGGTCCCACGGCAAATTCAATTTCTAGAATCCAAGGTTTCCAAGGTCCCACGGCAAATTCAATTTCTAGAATCCAAGGTTTCCAAGGTCCCATGGCAAATTCAATTTCTAGAATCAAGGTTTCCAAGGTCCCACGGCAATTTCAATTTCTAGAATCCAAGGTTTCCAAGGTCCCACGGCAAGTATACATTGCAGGATCCACAGTCCCCAAGGTCCCACGACAAGAATGCATTGTAGGATCCACAGTCCCTAGGGTCCCACGACAAGTGTAAATTTCAGGATCCACAGTCCCCAAGGTCCCATAACAAGTATACACTTCAGAGTTCAGGGTCCACAGTCCTCAAGGTCCCACGGCAAGAATACCTACATCTCAGGATCCAAAGTATTCAGGGTCCCACAACAAGAACTTAAACTAACATTCTGATGAGCAGACTTACTTCTAAATATTCTGCCAACGTATGCCCAGCAACATTGAAAGGGACAGAACCTATGGAAACCTGTGGTGGTTTTATCATTTACCAACATAGGTAGGGGGAGCTTCAACACAAGTTAAAGATGAATCATAATATCAATCTCTCCTTCTTTAGCTTGACAAATTCATAAAAATATAGGTAGGTGGTAGGTACCTTGCATTTTGTATTGTCATGTCCCTTTCAAATCAATCTTACCTGATCATTAGGAATGTAGGATAGCACCTTACAGTTATTGAAGACAGACATCAAAGTATTATTTCAGGCAATATCAAAAAACAAGAAATAAAACCTACAGGCTTCATAAAAATGGAAAAACTGAATTGGATAGGTATATGCTTTCGATTTTCTGCACATTACATAATACCTAGGATAAAAACTCAAATATGTTCTAAGTCTTGTTTGCGCGAGCGCTAACAGAAAAACTGATCGACTAAGCCAATAGAATTAGAGTATCAGCGAGCGCAAAACTTTCTTACTGTTCATTCACAATAACTTGAAGGCTCTGAACAAAATTCCATCTGACAATTTTTTCGTCCGACGGTTCTTCGTCGGCAGATTTTCGTCCGACTTTTTCGTCTTGCATTTTTTCGTCTGTAGGTACGAATTGGTTTGGTATATTTTTCGTCTGAGTATTTTTCTGTCCGGCATTTTTTCGTCTGGACGAGGCGGAAAATGTCCTTACGAAAAAATGTGCGGAGTTAAAAATGCACAGACGAAAAAATGCATAGACGAAAGTCTGCAGACGAAAAATTGTCCGACGAAAACCTGCTAAACGAAAAAGCTGAACTGTCATGGATTCATTGCTTATATTGGATGCTCATTGCTCAATGGTGATCTGATGACTTGCAAATCAAATAATTAAGTTTGACACTTACTTGGTCAAGTTGGTAGCTTCCAAGTAGCTTCAAGCCCGGCATATCACAACCCAGAAAATATGTGAGGTGAGATTAGAAAAGAGTTTTCCAAACCACCACTGTCCACTGTTTGACAGTTTCATAATCCACAACATTGATAATGTAAAAAGCTGCCAGGTCTCTTGTTCCAGTTCTGCCTCACAGCCATGACAACGATTTGGCTCTATATACATATGTCTACACTACTCTACACAGTCTGGTTCGTTTTCTCTTCATGTATCTATCTTAAGCCCTTGCAGCTGGTGGCTCAACCATATATATTTATTGAAGTCAGAAATGTCTACAGAGAAAACCTAGTGCAGGGTCCTAAGTGGCCCATGTGCAACATAAACCTCATGGTTCAGCTCCAGGATTCTTGAGATTCCTCAACAAAATGATGGTGTAAGTCCCGGCCCTTCTCCTAAGATCCCATGACAAATAAGAAAACTGGGACTGAAGATCTGCATTCTGCAGGGTCTTGCAGCATACCAAAATTTTGAGGTCCTTCTCCTGTCCCCTGGGTTTCCAATCATGGTTTTACAGCATATGAAATGTTGAGGTCCTGGGTTTCTAAGGTCTCATGTCACATGAAATGTTGATGTCCTGGGATTCCAAGGTCTCGCGGCATATGCAAATGTTGAGGTCCTGGGATTACAAGGTCTCGCGACATCTGCAAATGTTGAGGTCCTGGGATTCCAAGGTCTCGCGACATATGCAAATGTTGAGGTCCTGGGATTCCAAGGTCTCGCGGCATATGGATGTTTTAAGGTCCTGGGTTTCCAAGGTCTCACGACAAAAATGACAATGCAAGGTCCAGGATCCATCAAGGTCCCAGACCTTGGACTCTGCGAACCCTGGATCTCGGACCTTTTTGGGACCTTGGCACAAGTCTGAACCATACTGATACATACCTTCTCTAATATTCTTGCTAAAAGATATTCCTTTTTAGAATTAAATTCATTAGTCCTTACAAATATTATCAACTATCAAAGGCCCCAAACGATAAAACATTCAAAATCAAAATAGAAACATGAAAACTGTGTGAGGTTCGCCAGAAATGTCGACACGATAGCAATGGACAAAACAGGCGTTAAATCACTGCAAAATTTTGTTGGGGATAAAGTACTACAAAATCGTAGGCAATAAACTTTTAAGTACTGCAAGTTGGTTAAGTAGGTTGCGATCATGACTTAAGTGCCAATTTATTAACGTAGAAAACAAACTACATTTTGTTGTTAGTACCTAGACATAGAATAAATACCAAGGGTTCTGAGACTTTCTTCCCGAACGTGTTCCAAAATTGTAACCTTTATCCAGTAGATTAGCGTGCGTAAGGTATAGCATATATGACGCTCAAATGCGCCATTTTCACATCAACACGGAATCATTGGCCTTGGAGAAGGGCATTGGTATTGACTCAGTTTTTTGTCAGCTGCTGCCGTATGATGGCGCTAGTAGAGCGCTATATGTATAATACGCTCTGCTAGCGCCACCATGCGGCGCCAGTTGGCTAAAATCTGATCAATACTACGGTTTCTGGAGAATGCCTTGGATTCATTTTTAGCTTTATGGATTTATGCAAGGGCATGTTGGTTTTATGAGTTGTCTTCTGGCCGTGATAGAAATAATTTCAAAGCTGTTTGAGTTATGAAATGCATTTGAATATCAAACATGAACTCTGATTTCCGGTGGGCATAGTGACTTTGGTATGTCAATGTCTTTGAAAAGGCAGGTGAGAATGCCACTGGTCAGCCTTGCTTCAATTGGATTTGTGTCCATTTATAAACGGATTTCAGTCATACCTACTTACCTACATATGTTATTGGTATTTGATTTCTACAGCTCAAAATATTGCTAGGTGCTGTACAGCAAACTGAATGGAAGTGATCCGTACAAACATTTGGTGAAATGTTTTCTGGATTGCTAGCACTTAGAACTTGTTTATTCTGTTGTAGGTGACAAGATAAGAAATTGAAGCAAGACTGACCTCACTGACCAGTATCAGTATGCTATAGAATAGGTAGCCCAATCTGCTGGAATATTAAAATTCAAAAGTGGAATTGGGACTTATGAACTGGAAACTGCATCAACTATGACTATGTTTGCCAAAGCATAAAAGATATTAATGTTTACCATAAAGCACAGGGAAATGATAGGACCCGGTTGGACCCGGCCAAATATTTTGGGGGACCCGGTCTGGACCCATCCGGGTCCAGACCGGTTCCATAGACCGGGTCCCCGGGTCCACATTTTGCCACCTCTAATCGGTGACCTCGAGGTCAATGAAATTAGGTTTCGCTCGACAGTTTTTCCGGGGCTATCAGACGCCGTTTGAATTTTGACGATCGGCCCAGTAGTTTCGGAGTTAGGAGGGGGGGGGGGGCTATGAATAGCCCCCCCCCCCAGTAGGGCGTGTTATACGCAGACCCCAGTGGGGCGCGGGTTAAGGGATGATAGGCCTGTACTGGGTACTGATTTAACCCCCGTTTGTGGTCTGTGTTGCAGAAGTGGTCCAAGGGAAAGGTCCGTGACAAGTTGAACAACCTGGTGTTGTTTGACAAGGCGACCTATGACAAACTGTACAAGGAGGTGCCCTCGTACAAGCTGATCACGCCGTCAGTGGTCAGTGAGCGGCTGAAGGTGCGCGGATCGCTGGCCCGTGCCGCGCTCATCGAGCTCCACAGCAAAGGTACGCCGCTCTACACACACACAGTAACGGCCGTATGACGCGAGAATATTGACCGCGCAGATGCTGGCTCTGCTGCTGCTGTTGTGGGGCCTGGGGTGGGGGAAATGTGACGCCACTGTCCTCACTGCGTGGTGGGTCCGCGGGCCTCTATTACAACTATCGGAGGCGCTGTGCCACACTGGGACGGTATGTGTATTGTGTATTGTGTATTCCGTTCGCCGCGCTGTCTGGTGTGCGGGTACCTGTATGCGCTGATGGCGCCTTTTGTTCTCAGGGCTGATCAAGCTGGTGACGAAGCACCACGCCCAGATGATCTACACCCGGACCATCGCCGCCGACGATGAGGAGACCAAGTAGAGCCACTGTCCATTCATAAACAAATAAACAAACAAAAAAACTACCCGGACTTTTACATAGAGTTATAGCGACAAGCGACCGATGTTGGAAGAAGTAAGTGAGCACATTATTGTAGTCGCGCAGCTAAAACGTGTGAAGTTACGGGAGGCAGTGGACGGGGTATGGTCGGGATATCAGTCTATCGGTCTCGGAACACTGCACGCGGCGGCGGCCGGTCTCGAGCAGTGGAGCACCGTTGACTGCTGATGAGCGTCGCACAGGCTAAAAAGTAGTCTCGTGTCTGCACCGCAACGGAAACTATTGTCGGCTCCGTGGGTCAGAAGCGGTCTTCGAGAGATGCCTGGAGGCGAGAGTAGTTGAATGTTGCACAAGCTGTATGGGTGTCAGTCGGTGGATCCTCGGGGATCGCCTCGTGTGATTCACGTAAGGTTATTTGAAAAGTCCTTCCTCATTTGATAAATTACGCGTATAGCATGAAATGCATCTGCCAAAAAAATGCAAAATTGCGTTGTTATTAGGAATTACTCTACGCTGTCAGCTCTCACAAGTCACCAGCTCTCAAGTCTACTCCACTCAAACGCTGATAAGCTAATGCTGAACAACTATGCGCTCTAGATTTAGTTTATTATGTTCACAAAAAATAGTTATGTAAGGGAGATTTTAAATACATGCAGTCGGCGCGAAGATTCGGCGGTCGGGAACACTGCCGCAACGCTCGCCCGGGCTAGTTTCCCAGTTCCCACTCCTTCGGTAGAAGGCCTTGGGTAGAAGTGCTACCGTACACACTACACGCCTGCAGACATATTAACCCGGTTTACATAGCATATTTGACGAGGCTCTAGCTCGTTAATTTGGCGATAATTTCGATGCAGTGGTCTTCAAATATTTAGAGGGGATCATTTTGTAAATTGTTCAGCACCATTGGCATCTTTTGCAACATCACGGACGGAGATATAAGCTTGCAACAAACCCTATGTAAACGCGTCTAATGTGCCGAAATCAGACCAGTGGATGTCATTTCTGTCACCGCCACTAGATGTCAGTAACGTGCGCGCCTGCTGACATACTGTGCCGTAGTGCTCAACTGAACTGGTTTCTGCTTCCGTCACTAGATGTCGCGCCGCGCAATGACCACGAGGTGTAGTCTGGCTTCGTCGCTAGATGTCACTAGCGTAAACGCCTGGTGACATACTGTGCCGCAATGCTCGCCTGGGTTAGTTTCTGTCTCCGTCACTAGATGTCACTACCGGGTACGCCTGCAGACACACTGTGCCGCAATACCCCCGCGCCGTAGTGTCGCCCGCTGTGGCGGCCGGGGGAGCATGTTGCTATGGGGACATGGATCCTTTCATCGTTCAGTCTTAAGCATAGGTAATGCATAGAGTAGGTATGCATTACAATCAGGGGTGCGGAGCCGGAGCCAGCATATTTTGCCCGGAGCCGTGAAACAATATAGCCCGGAGCGGGAGCCGGAGCCGTCAAAAAAGGGGGCGACTCCGGCTCCTTTTTTTTTGAAGAGGAAAAACTTTTTGATCTAGTTCGGTTTGACAGTTCAAGGCAGTAAACCATGTGATATTTAAATATGAAAATAGCATTGTTATGCAAATACAGAAGCGACGTTAACCAGTTCCATCGTCTTTTTCTTCCACTCGTATTTAATTGCATAGGGGATGTACTGAGTATTGGAGCCGGAGCATTTTACTCGGAGCCGGAGCCGCCATGGCATTTCACCCGGAGCCGGAGCCGATTTTTTTTCTCCAGAGCCGGAGCCGTCTGAAATTTCCACGGCTCCGCATCCCTGATTACAATAAATGCTTATCGATTTGGGGGCATGGGCAATGGGCATGGCTCCCTCCTCTCCAGGCTCACTGATATCGCCAATATTGCATGCTATAGATACCTTATGCCCACTCAATTTCTGATGGGGAATTATGTTGAAATAAAAATGAGTAATAAGGTGAAAATAATACACGAATTATGAAATTACGCTTTCCAAAAAAGTACCTATGCATTAGTTGCTGCAGCTCGATCGAAAACGATAAAATTCATTTCAAGTTGATTGATTTGAAATTGAAACCCAGTGAACGGTACTGATGTAGATGATCCTAAAGGGTCGTAGGTACTGCTCAGTAGTGTATTTGAGAGGCTTGGGCCCAGATGTAAGTACCTCAAGGTCAAGCGCACCTTTTTGCACCTCTGCTAAGAAAAATAAGCATACCTTTTAATGATACCTACGTCGATGAACTATTCATAAGCTTTGATAAGGAACTAGGGGTTCCCGGTTGCGGGGGGTCATCGTTGCTATTCGCTACCCGGATAACTGCTGAGAGAGTACCGGCGTCACTGATCAGAGAGTACTGCTGTTACTGATCAATGAGTACCACCGTTTTTTTTTTTTTTTTTTTGATTAGGGAGTACCGCCGTCATCTATCAGGCAGGTATACGCCGTCACTGATCAGGCAGGACCGCCGTGACGGGCACGTGCGTGGGTGCGCTCTCCCACACTGACGCCGGCGGTCGGCCGGCCAGCGGCGCCGTCCCACCGCGCCGGCGGTATTTTTAGGGCCGACTGACTGCGGGAGCAGCTGGGCGGTCAGTGTCGGCCCAACCCGGCCAGTGACGCCGCCGGGACCAGCCGCGCGCCGGCACACCGGACTCGCGGCGACTCGGCACAGAGACCGGTGGGCTCTGGGACAGTGTTGCCCGGTCGGGGCCGCTCAGGCAGTGGTCAGCGGGTCAGACCGGTGTGGTGGCGGCGAGTCTGCTCTGCGCAGGGAGAGGACCGGCTCCAGGCGGCGGCAGCTCGGGAGGTGCCTGCCGCCTCACGGAGGGAGCCATGGCCTTCGTTGAACCTCTGATAGGGTGTACCAGGACCCTGGAGCTGAGCGACCGATCACTGTCGACGGACGGTTTGGCGGGCTCGCCACCGCCGGAGGACGGCGCTCGCCGACAAGTGACGGACTGTCAGCGGGCAGATTCCCCGGTACCGGCCGAGGGGGACGGGAGGCGGGCCGAGTCTCCGGTACCAGCCGAGGGCGGCGGGAGGCGGGCAGATTCCCCGGTTATACTGGCCAAGGGGGACGGGAGGCGGGAAGATTCCCCGGTTATACCGGCGGAGGGCGGCGGGAGGCGGGCAGATTCCCCGGTACTCGCCGAGGGGGACGGCAGGAGGGCAGACTCTCCGTTACTTGCAGCGTGGAGCAGACAGCCACAGACCGCCGAGCACCCTCCAGCGGAGTCGGACTCAGCCATCAGCAGCCAGCCTCAGCTGGACTGCTACATCCTGGACGACGAGAACGAGCCCCCGCCCGACCTGGAGGAACACAGCAGCGGGTGAGATTTCAGCGACGCTTTGGTTGAACTATACCCATTGGGCATTTTTCTGTGCCCGCATGCCGTGTCTTTTTGATGTGATTCATTTGGTGCATGTGAGCAATACGTCCAGGGTGTCGGCTTGAAAATAAACATCATCATCATCGCAAACCGTAGCTCATCTGGGAGAGCGTTGGGGTCTTGGTGGCGAGGGATCGTGTCCGGCTTTGATGGGAAACCTCGGCATCATAAGTTCCCCGGTTCAATGCAGCCCGAACGAGCGGTACCTAAGGGGCTGAGGCTCACGCAACAAGCTCTGCTTAGTGTAGACTCTGGCTCTTTCAATCCGTCCGTTCAAACAACACGCATTGTCTTCACATTTTCCTTCACTATCTACGCTTCCTTTTTCTGTTGCTGTCTACGAAGCAATATGCATAATGCAGCAATGTGTTACAGCATTGAAACATCCAACAATTTTGACATGTGTTAGTCTGAACAATCAGCGATGGGGTGGTCAGGCGACCTTCTATAGCGGCCAGTTTACCCGGCATCCCCTCACTGAACCGTTCAGCCGACCCGCAGAGCGGTCAGCCGACCTCACAGTGGTGACCGGACGACCCCATGGTGGCAATAAACCAACTTCGCTGGAGCGGAGGTATTTGGCACTGCATGAGCGCCAAGGTCCTGCGACGGACATCGTCAGTTGTCGACCCCCATTGTCCGTGCCAGCGGCGACCAAAATACCGTCCCCGACCCCTGGCGCCACGGAGCGCAGCGCGGCGTCAGGCGGCCTTCACTGGTCCGGCCAAATACGGCACTGGTCAGCGGGGCTCAGCTGATGGAACCTACCGGACTCTTTAGTGCCCTGCTACAGACGTCCACAGAGCCACACGGAAGCTGATGAGCTGAAGAAAACGGGTCGTTGATGCTGCTTAACCGTGCTCAGCATATCTAACAGCGTTTTCGACACCCATTGTTCCGTCGCAGAACAATGCGATCATGAATCGGGGTTTCGGTAGTGCCGATTAATTTAAATAAACACAGCATGTATCAGTATTAGTGTATCACCATCAGCATAACGTCAGTACCTGCAAACATTGTATCCGTATCCGTACCCATCTATATGTGTCCAGTCAGCTCTCTGTCACAGACGGTGCTCGGTGTGCGGTCTGCCGACAGGGGTGGGTGCGCGGTGTGCGGCCTGCCGGCGTCCGGCCGGTGCTCGGCCTGTCTGGCCGCTCTGTACTGCGGCCCGGTGCACCAGCAGCAGCACTGGCTGGCCCACCGGCCGCTCTGCCGGCCGTACGCGGTGGCGCTCCACCCGCTGCTGGGCCGGCACCTGGTGGCCACGCGGCCGCTGCGGCGCGGCGACCTGATCCTGCGAGACGCGCCGCTGATGGTGGGCCCGTGCGCGGATACGGCGCCGCTCTGTCTGGGCTGCTACCGGCCGGTGGCGGGGCCGCGCCGCTGCCGCCGCTGCGGCTGGCCGCTCTGCTCGGAGCCGTGCGAACAGAGCGAGCAGCACCGGGCAGAGTGCGACCTGACGGCCGGCAGCCCGCTGGGCGCCCTCTCCGGCCACGAGGGCGTCGACTGGTACCCGTGCGTGGCCGTGCTGCGGCTGCTGCGGCTGCGGGACACACGGCCGGCCGACTGGGCGCGCCTGCTGCAGCTGCAGAGCCACGACGACGAGCGGAGGGACACGGACATCTACCAGCTGGAGCAGACGACGGTGGTGGACCGCGTCCGGCACAGGTCAGAGGTGGAAGGGTCCGGCACAGGTCAGGGATGGCGGGATGGCTCAGGGGTATCTCAGTACCTTCAGTTGATTGACGAATAATAGTAGAAGCAGGACCAAGCCTGACCCAACTCACTGCCGTGCCAAGGAGGTAGCGTGACGTCTGTGACGTTACCTGCAGTGCTTGAGCCTTGAAAAAACAACGGTTTATACATAGGTTTATGACACTGTTAAATCATGGGACATGTGAGCCGCCATCTTTTGCCAGGCTGCTGCGTCGTTCTTCTATGCCCGTACCTTGGACCGGCTCACGCCCTGTTCCGCCGGCAGGTTTGGCCAGTTCCAGCACAGTGAGATGCTGCTCCACCGCATCTGCGGCATCATGGAGACCAACGCCTACGAGATCCGTCTGCCCGAGATCAACGTGCAGGGCGTGTACGCGCGCGCCGCGCTCTTCGAACACGACTGCGTGCCCAACACGCACCGCACCTTCGACGAAAACCTGACGCTGGTCGTGCGCGCCGCCGTCGACATCGCTCAGGTAATGTGCGCGCCGCCGTCGACATCGCTCAGGTAATGTGCGCGCCGCCGTCGACATCGCTCAGTTAGGTATAATGTGCGCGCCGCCATCAAAACATTTGATATCCTGAACGTTTGACAATACGATAATTATTTAATTGTTAAGATATTTGTTGTTTCGGTAAGGCATTTCATTTAAAAGTTTTTTTTTCTCCAAGTCCGAGAATCTCGCATGAGACGATGACAGGAGTTCTCACGGGTGTCCGTCTCGCGCTGTCATGTCGGGATGTGCCGTTACTACTAGAGATGCCCTTTTTGAACCCGCAAACCCGCTTTCTGCGGGTTTTCAAAACCCGCAGGGTTTTTGGCGGGTTCGAGAAGCAAAACTTGTCGTGTGGCGGGTATTTGGCGGTCAGACTTTAGAACCTATATATATTTTTTTTAGATGCAAAACACAATGCCAAGTGCATTTGCTCAGGTTAACAATACAATATTCATCAAAACAACTTTTAAAACAGAACCAAATATAAAAATATATCAAGGAAGCACATTTCAAATGCAAAACTGAAAACAACCAGCAATAGCATCCACAGTCTAGCAATGACCAAACCAGGGTACAAACAACAAACTACAAAGCATAAATAAATGCTGATGAAAGCATTCCATAAAACATAAAAGAACCTGAAAGCAAACTTATAGGAAGCTGAACTGAAGTCTATGTGCAGTGTGCACTAGATATACATTATGGAAGAACCCAGACTAAAATGAGATGTTGATGTTGAAAATCAGAGCAAATGCCACATGTTACTTTATTTGCGTCTGGTCGGCATAAAAAAGAGCTAAACAAAATTTGATGCAAATTCATTGATTACCAATCCTACTCTATGCTCTGTCCCACCCTATATTACGAAAATAACACACCAATTACCTGCAATTACCCTTACAAAAAATCAAAATATTGACTGGCATGCGGCCCAAACATAACGCAATACAATACTGGCGCACTTTCGACATTTTGACAAGGATTGGCATTTGACTGCGTCAATTTTGGTCTCTGAGGCGAAGGAAAGCTGTCATTGATGACTATTTACTGTCTCTTTATTTCCTAACCGGTGATTAACCTCTGAATTGTAAAACTTTAGCTGTTGTGTAAAATAATATTATCAGAATGGCACATTAATATGCATTATACAACGGTGTTTTCGCAACAAGTTCGCACTAACAACGGCTGCAATAATTTAGTCGCTGTAACATTCCCTGCAATCAGCTGTTGGTGACGCTTCTGACGCATGTTTCCAAAAATGCGTGGTTCATTGGTTAGTTGGTTTTTGCTGGGCTTTTGCATGATTTGTTCGCCCTAACTCTTCAACAACAACAACATGCATGATTTGTTTTATGTGTAGATCGACCGGATACGCATTATTCACCGTGTCGTCCGTGTCACTAATTTATTTTTAACTGAAAATCGCATATCTTTTTATATCAACATTCATTTTGATAACAGTAGGTATCATTCCAGAAGCCTAACATTGAGAGGAACCAGAGTGAAATTTTGATCCTCAGCCAATGCTGAAGGGTAAGGTGAGAGAAAGATTTTACTGAATTCTTTTCAGAAAGGAATTTCAAATGTATTGATGCATTATTCGTTTTCCATTATCCAGTGTGCACTTCCTGAGGACTTAGCATAGCAATTTCAAGTCCTTACTATTTGTTTGGTTGTCTTTTTCTGCACAACAATGAAGCAAGTAAGGTTTATAATATATAGCTCTAGCATTGACCCAGCTGTATTTTCTCTTGCAAAGGCAGGTTTTTAAAATTGCGGGTTTTTTTGCGGGTTCGGCTCAGTCAAAATCAGCTTGCGGGTAGTTGTGGTTGGGCAAGGGGTAGCTGCGGGGCGGGGCGGGTAATGAAATTGCAAATTTGGTGCATCTCTAGTTACTACCCCCAGCCGGTGGGGAGCCGTCTCAGAGCCGCTGGTCCCACCCTCACAGTCCCCGGGCCCTGCTCTCGTCAGTCGGCTCTGGTCCCCCTATCCCGTCACTCTGCGGATCACGGGTGTGATCAGAGATACACAGAAGGTAGTGTGTTCACACCGCACATCCGTCGGCAGCCGTTCTGAGCTCAGTTTGAGTCACTGACTGCCGGGCGGCCGCGCTGGCCGCCGGCCAGAGCCGCAGCTCCGCCACCGGGACACTGCGGGGGCGGTCGTACGGGCGGCGGTGACCATCCCGGGAGGGGGGGGGGTCTGTCCCCGGACCGGGCGCTGGCGGTGACAGAGGTGCCGTCATCGTCCACCGCCGACCGGACGTGCCGCTGTCCCACCGCCGCTGAATTTATCGCCGGCCACCGCTGCCAGCGAGCCGCGGCGCTAATCGGCACCATACCCGCACAGCAGAACGGGAGACCCGCGATTGAAGTCACCGTGTAAGATAACTCAGCACGGTCTCTAGTGATATGCCTAAGCCGTCCTCAAATTGCAAATGGTTGCTCGTATTCGTATTCGATGGTGAAGTTTTTTTCTGCTCTACTTGGTTCACTTTGTTACTCGAGCCAGCTGAAATCAGTGTCGCATCGGGTTGAGCTATGTCCTGAGTGGCTGATGAGAGGTCGTCTCTTCAGGGTGAACATCTAACCAGCATCTACACGGACAACCTGTGGGGCACGTGGCAGCGGCGGGAGCACCTGCTCACCAGCAAACACTTTCTGTGCGAGTGTGCGCGCTGCTGCGACCCGACCGAGCTGGGCACCGGGCTCAGCTCGATCCGCTGCTCCCTCTGCCAGCACGGGTGAGTGCAATCCGCGGTCAGCTTCACAACAGGACTGCAGGCCGCAGGGGCAGCCTCCACGCAGAGCACTCTCTGAAAATATGCTTAAAGTCCTTTTTATGCTGATGTCTTCGTGCTAGTAACTCGTCTCGTAGTGTTCGGCTCGTTTAAATATATGTGTATTCCCTAGTAACAAATGCACGACCTAGTAATCCTAGTAGCAAAACCCAAGGCCTCCGTCTCCCATGTACGGCTCCCGCCGACGGCTCCGGCGCGCCCTCCCCTGCAGGTACATCCAGTCGGTGGATCCACTGCAGGTGCAGGCCGACTTCCGGTGCGCGGCGTGCGGCGCCCTGGTGCCTGGCGCGCCGGTGCGCTCCGCCCTGGCGGCGCTCGAGGCCGAGGTCCAGGCCGTCGAGGAGGAGCCCACCATCGACGACTGCGAGAGACTCATCCAGATCTGCTCATCGGTAAGGCGAACCCAATGGGTGGCCTGGTTGTGGCATCATGTCAGTCACCTGGAGGTGTTTGACTACAGACTACAAACCTACAGAGTCTTCCGTTGATTGTTAGGTACTGTTAGAAAAAGAAAGTATTTTTATAGGTGAATCGTAATTCATCCTCGTAGATAAACGTTTTCTCTGTATTTTCCATAGTCAAGTACATGTATAGGTGTTATTTGTAGGTGTGTTCGATTGTAATGCAAATATGATGCAAATGCATGAATAATAAAGTGATAGCTATACCTAAATAAGTTTGGCAGCGCATAACCGTAAACAATTGCAAATGGACGCCTTACGAAGCGACATTGCATCAAACACTGACTGAGCTATTGCCTAATGACTAAAGCCGAACACTGAACGCGCAGCACATTGCGACACGGTCATTGCGGCACAGCATCCTATCAGGCGTATACAGTAGTGACATCTAGCGGCTGGGACAACAACCACGCCCGACGGTCATTGCGGCACAGCATCCTGATCCAGTCAGGTGTATACAGTAGTGACATCTAGCGGCCGGGAGAACAACTACATCCGACGGTCAATGCGGTACAGCATCATACCAGGCGTATACAATAGTGACATCTAGCGGCCGAGACAACTACCGACTACGCCAGGTGATCACACAGTATGCTAGCAGGCATATAGGTTGTAGTAACATCTCGCGGTCATGACAACTACGCCCGTTGGTCATTGCGGCACAGTATGTTAGCAGGCGCATATGGTAGTGACATCTCGCGTCCGGGACAGCAACTTCGCCCGGCGGTCATAGCGGCACAGCATATCTGCAGGCGCATTTAGTCTGGACATCTTGATCTAGCGGCCAATGCAGCACTTATCCAGGTGGTTATTGAGGCACAGCCTGTCGTCAGGCGTAAACGGTAGTGGCATCTAGCGAGGGGGACAAGACAATAACTATTCCGCACGGCCAGTTCGGTACAGCATGCTGGCAGGCGATAGGCGTATGCGGTAGTGATGCGTGGCGACAGATACAGCGCCTATTTCCTTTTTGGATGGTACGATATGTGAGCACGTACCTATGACCCCGTTTCCATGGGCATCACTGATCCGGATTAGCAAATTTAATTCGTATTATATTTCTGGAACTCTTCGTTACATGATATAATTCCAAGTGGATTAGGCTTATATAATCAGTTAATCCCTTATTTTCATTTTCATATATCGTCTAACTATATTGGATTAGCTAATCCATTTTTGCTGATCCGGATCAGTGATGCCCATGGAAACGTGGTCTATGTATTTCAGATTGGTAATATTGTTTATCTAATTATATGCATTTCAATTGAAAGTTAGCTGTGGACGGGATAGAATACCTACGTCGAAAGAAGATATGCTGATGGCGGCGGCTGGGTTTTGAGTACCTATGCACTCATTGACCAATGCTAGTTCATATTGCATACCTTACAGCATGCTGTACTCGACAGAATCATAAAATGTCGCAATGAATGATTTTACTGATTGTTTTAATAAAAAAAAACTGAAGCGGCTGACACGGTGAAGCAATTGTTGGACAACTGACGTGTTTTTCTTTGTTCTGGTGATCGAAATGCTCACCTTAAGCCTAAATATGTAATCTTCGAAATTCAAATTGAATCTCTTATTGCTTGGGCTTTCATGCTTACAACATAACGGTTCTTATAATTGTTTTGCGTAGCTTCAAATGTTCTGTAAATCTCAGAGCGGTGCCGTTTTGTGTGTTTCTCCGTGGCCGCCGATGACTGACGTCTGACGGTGGGTGTCGGCGCGCGGCAGGTGCTGCACCCCACCCACCACCTGATGCTGGACCTCAAGTACCCGCTGGTGCACCTGTACAACACGTCCGAGACGCTGCCGGCGGCGCAGCTGGACAGGAAGGAGCAGCTCTGCAAGGAGATCCTGTCCGTGGCCGACATCGTCACCCCCGGTCAGTCCAGGGCGGCTCCACGGAGCCCTCAGCCCAGCTCCGGGCGCCGCGATACGGCTGCTCCTTATAGACATAGCTCTGTAAAAGTCTGTATGTGCGAACTCTGCCCCTTTTCCGAGTGGAAATTGACTGTTATATAATAGCGTTATTATGTTTCCTAACTTAACGCATTATCTTATGTGCTCCAGGAATATCGAGGTTGCAAGGAATCGTTCGGTACGAGCTCCAACAAACATTATTGCAAAAGGCAAGATTCCTGTACGACAGTGGGAGCCACCAGTCAGCTGACGTGATCGCCCTGTTCAGGGTAGGTCACTCTGGTGGTGTTAATATCGATCGCCTATTCACGTAATATCGACTCCCCACATCCAATTGTCGACTTTATCGAGAAACTGTGGTAATTACTCGGCCGTAAGTGTTTGCAAATGTAAGTACACGGCGATGATAAGGATAGATGACCAGTGTTACCCCTCTGTGAGGACAGATAACCAGTGTTACCTCTGTGAGGACAGCTGGCCAGTGTTACCCCTCTGTGAGGACAGATGACCAGTGTTACCCCTCTGTGAGGACAGCTGGCCAGTGTTACCCCTCTGTGAGGATAGATGGCCAGTGTTACCCCTTTGTGAGGACAGATGACCAGTGTTACGCTCTGTGCGGACAGGAGGCGCGCGACGTACTGTGTGCGGCCATCTCGGTGCTCCGCTGGGAGCCCTGCGTTCAGCCGGAGGGCCAGCTGGGCCTGGAGGCAGCGGAGGAGCTGACGGAGCTGGACGCCTGGCTGCGGGAGCACCTGCCGGCCGCGACGGCCCCCGCTGAGCCGGTGCAGGGGGACGGGGCCGACTCTGAGACACCGACTGGGCGCCGCACCGGTCCGCCGGCGGACACCGGGGAACAGCGGCGCGGCGCCGAGAGCGGACCAGACTGCCCCGCACAGCGTCCCTGTGCGCCGCGGCCGGAGGAGCCCGAGAGTCACACCGTGTCCTGCGCAGAACAGGCACCGGTACCTCGCCGGGCGCCGACTCAGCTCAGGGCATGAACGTGCTCTCCCCCACCTCGGGTGCTCTTTCTGGGGTGCGCACGGGGCTCGCTTCGATCCCCCTGACTTTGTAAGAGACGTTTGTTCATCTATGAAACCGTGCAATACTGTGATTGCGTGTAGTTGTAGTCTGTATGTGATTGCGTTGTGTCTGTGCGTGTAGATGACGTATTGTCATATAAATGAAGCTGTTCATGACGCTATAGATGACGTTGTTCATATAACAGAGTAAGAGGAAGATCAACATTGCGATGCGCATATTCAGGGCTGTTGAAAGTTGAACTTCATGCACTTTATAAATGTATCATGGTGTGTTTACTGTTTTTATATGGGTACGTCTATGTTTATTCTTTATTCATCGAAGGTAACAGTTAAGATACCTAACTACTGGTATCCCTGTTTTTATGTCTAAAGACGGGTGTTTGGGGGGGGGGGGGTGAATTAGGATCCATTCACGACGAAAACCTCGTCACGCGTCTCTGCATGCTACGCTGCATCGTTTACAGTGTCTCGGTTCTCCTGGTCGTCGCAGAATATACTTACAAATGTCTGAAACACCTCTGTTTTCAACCGTTACTGCGTGGATACGTCTAGGTACCTATATTTCAGGGACCGATCTTGTGGGTAAGGGTCTGCGTTAAAGGTTTAAAGCCCCATAACCCCATTCCCCGATTAGCCCAGATATTTTAAAATTTGATCCCAGAAGACATACCTACCTACACGGGCAATGGTAGTGCTTCGTTGAGATATTAATTCAGAGGCGGATCCAGCTCAGAGGTTTGGGGGGGCAAACCATAAAAATTTATCGATTCTTTCCATGCATCGTCCATAGGCGTAATGTTAAAATCATGCCGTTTGGGGGGGGGGGGGCAAATGCCCATTTTGCCCCCCCCCCTGGATCCGCCACTGTATTAATTATTAAGGAACCTTCCCCCAAGCATTTTACTATGCACCAATCGTTACCTAATGCCCGGCCCCTCTCCAACGGCTTTCCGCCGAAACCATCGACCATGAAAATAATGACTTTTTGCCTCATGACTTTGCCTGTAATTTGGAGTTCCCGTTGGCGATGAGTTGAATAATTAAATAAATACATAAATAAATAAATAAAATAGCTCACACTGTGTTATGGACATCCCAGAGTGTAGGTTTATAAGTGATAACCTGAACCCATACGAACGCACCGAGTGAACGATATAATGTCCCTCGCCAAGGGAAATGTTTTTTTTGTGTCGTTTAGGTGCCTCAGGAACAAGAATTTACTTATTGGCCGAGTAACTGGCCAAAAAGTAAATTGTGAAAAAAGTAGACAGACGCGATTGACCCGAAGGTCAGCGCCTGCGGCCTGACCATAGTACACCCCACCGACCATACCGACTACCGAGCACCTACCACCCGACCATTTGGCAGAATTCATCTCAGGATAGTGCGTTGGTGTATTTTACGGCCTCAGTACGACTTCACGTCCGACATAATACTGAGCCTCCATTGATGCTTTTGCCGTCCCCGGTGTCTCCTGACTCTTTGGCTGCCTTGGCTCTGTTCTTGCCTTTGCCTCTAAAATCACACAAAAATTTGGTTCTGTGTTTCATTTCAACATGTGCTGTATCGTAACGCATCTGTCGCAAAAATGGCGCAAAGTATTTGAGAAAGCTGTTCAAAACATGCTACGACTTTGCTTGCTATTGCTGTTGTTATTGTTGTGAAAACGACAGTCAAACAAAAGGAGAATTGAGTGACGTCATATTAGCTGAGTAATGGTTTCCCATTTGATTAAAACAAGTAAAATGACGTCACATTGAATGTCGTTTATTTCAGCAGCAGGAAATGGTTTATACCGCTGGACACATTGAACATGGCCTCTTCAAATATCCACGGTATATAGAGAACTAAAATTGAAATGGGACCGTGTATATCACACCACGGTGAGATTTACACAATACCGGCCATTTGTGTAAATCACACCCACCCCGGTGTGATATACACAAAATCTACTACGTAGTGTAAATCACACCCGGGTGAGGAATGCATATTTACGTCTGGACAACGAGTTGCGTTGGAGAGGCCGGAAATAGTGGCGATTTCAGGACCGCAAGAATGGACCGTCATTGGAATGATTCTTTTTTAAACCGTGCACTGTTTTGGGCCGGAATTTAATAGTTACTACAAAATATTTTGTTATTACGTTTCCATCAAGAATGAATGTCATCAGGGCTAAATTTTACTACTATTGCATTTTGTCAAGAAGCATTTAGTGCTGTTATATTGCAGTTTTAGCGCGTTTGTTACAAAATATGAAGCGAATAAGCGTCAGTGTAAATCATCATCAGTGCCAGAAGTTAACTTGATGGAAGGCTATGCTAATTGATCTTGTCCATCCACTAAAATTTATTAAATATTTTGCTTTGTGTATTCCAAAAGGAGAGGGAACTATTTCATGTGTGCCATCATGTCAGAATTGAAGGTGGATCATTAAATTTTCAACGCAGTTTACAAACAAGCATTTGGTCTTTCTCGTTTATAAGCAGTGGCTAAGAAAAGGTTGATCAATCCTGAAGTTCAGTCATCGTACCTCAACTTGGCAGCAAGATCCCCCAAGGACAACTCACCTTGTCAACTCACCTTGTCGGGTTCCATCCACTACCACCAGTCGGCAAGGAAAAGGCTCGATGGATGGAAGGACGGGAGGAACCCTGCTTCATATCAATATGGCGCGCCAGTTGACAATCTCAGGATACATCGTCATAGCATACACGCACATAACTGGAGTGTTGCGCCACCATTTAGACTAACATTGACTACATCGTGTTTTTACAATAGAATAGCAAATAGTAAAAAAAGTGTTCATCATACAACTTACATATACTCGACGAGTCTATCCGGAATAGCTCCTACTAATCCATGTTTAAATGACTGAAGGTCTGGAGCATTAACAACATCTGGTGGTAGGCTGTTCCAGAGATGCACACATCTGTTTGAAAACGAGCGCTGTCTTATGTCTGTGTTGGCGTGAGCGACAGTGACAGAGGATATATTGTATACATGTCCTGTAAATCAAAACAAACAAGCATTTGGTCTTTCTCGTATATAGTGGCTAAGAAAAGGTTGATTAATCCTGGAGTTCAGTCATTGTATCTCAACTTGGCAGCAAGATCCCCCCAAGGACAGAGGATATATTTTATACCTGACCTGTTAATCAAAACATTTGTGTGCCTGCAAAGGCTTAAGTTATCTGTGGTGTGTTCAGAGTTAGGCTATATGGCCGTTTTTGTTGTATGTTTATGTGGAGATTGAATATAACTGTGACCCTGTGCTTGTCTGTATACTTACGGTCAAACAGGGAACAGCACATTCACATAACATACTCACCTAGCACCTAACTCATAGCTGTACCTTGCAGGATCTGTACTTGTTCATGTCTCGAGCATTAACAAAGCACTAAAGTAGCTTAGTAATCATTTCCCACATTTTCTGAGCATCTAACATGACATACAGCAGTGCAGAGCAGCTTCAGAGAAGAAACACTTTAAATGCACAGACTCACACCAGCCACCCAATGAGCCAGTTCCTCAATTGACTGTTTCCCTGGATGCAGCTTGGCAATGTGAGCTAACTTTTGGCAAGTTGAAGGTTAGCAGGTAAGATTGAGTTAGGGTGAGTACCTACCTATAACTGGGTGCAACTGCCATGCAGGTCTTGGGTAGGCTGCAAATATGTGTGATGATTGAGGTTAGGTCAGCTGTCAGGTTAGTCAGGTTCAGGTATGCTCATTGCTCAGGTCACATTTTTATGGACATTTGGTAAATTAAAAAACTAACAATCTGATCTAAGCTAACCCGACTAAACATACACAACTACTGACTATAGGAACTGAGCACCTACCTACTTGTGCCTACATATCATACCATGTCAAAGTAGAGTTCCTTGGTGGAAGATTACCCTCAGTACTTTTTATCCCAGCCCTGTGAAGAAAACTAATACTTCTAAGCTCTGAGTCACTGCTGAGTGCTGGCCATCCACCACAGGAAGAAACGCTGAGACTGAGAGCTTTCCCATTGTATATTGGACCAACAATCACTATCACGAATGACTATGAACACATTTCACATCGTTGCATGGATTGTCACATTGACAATTTTACTACAATCCTTTTTTCAAGAAATACAGTGATGATGATTAACATCAAAATCAACATAAAGTGGATTTAGTGATCCAAGATTTCTCCTCCAGTAGCAATGAAATGATCGCATGTTTCATTTGCCAGACACTGAGTACCTGATGCACATTACAATCTGCATAGCATCTAAGCATAGTAAAACTGCCCAAGTCCATTTATTCTAGATTTTAACTTGATAGTTAGCACTAATTTATCTTGCTGTTGTAAGTTATCATTCAATATTCATGCCAATACATCAATATGCGCTCATCAGTCAACATTTTCTGGCATGATCCTGCTCAGTGTGCTCTTCAGTATTGCTCCAAGGTTTGCAATATGATAGCTTGTTTTTGGCCAATAAGCTCTTTTAATTTTACTTTTTCTTGCTGATATATGAGCCCGATCAACTTGCGTTTATCAACCAAAATTTCATAACTTGTTCAACTTGATATTGATATTGCTCAGGAGTCAGGACCTCTGTCAGCCTCCTGGATACTTTAGATTGTTTTCAGTCAACATGTTTCTTAAATATGATATAAGTCAATCTTTAGGGATTCAAAACATCCAACAAAACGACGTACAAGAGCAAGAAAACCACCAGATAAACTAAAAAATGGCCTTGGAACAGAGCCAAGTGGTGCTCCATTTCAATTCAATTTGTTTGTTTACAATGATTGTAGTGCTGACGTATTTTTAGGACTCTGAACGTCGGCTTATAAAAAAATGAAACGTTTTTACAAAAGTTGTAAGGCAAGTAATATTTATCTGAAAGAACTAAAATATTAAAAAGCCAAACACTATGAAATATATGAATCGGAACGAAAAAGTAACCCAAAAATCCAGCCTAATCACCGGCTCCTAAAACTGCAACACAATCAGCACTTTTCCCCGCAACTCGTTGTCCAGACGTAAATATGCGTGAGGAATACACAGAGAGGGCAGCTGTGTGTATATCTCACCACGATGTGACGTCATAGCAACGCTGAACGTCCATTGGTCAGAACAGTGACTCTGCTCGCCCATTGGTCAGATCAGACTAAGCACTACGAATATTCCGGCGCGATTCCGGGCGTCCTCTCACTTGGAATCAGTTGACCGCCTGGCCTAGTGGTGAAGGTGCTTGCACCATGATACGAATGTTGCGGGTTCGAGTCCCGTCGGCGCGGGCGCTTTTTCCCGCATCTTCGCTTTTCCTTGGTAGCGGTGGGTTCGCTGCCGACCGACAAGTTTAAAAGCACCAATACAATATGGAAAGCGACGTCTGAATGCTCGTGGCGAAGCGGTGCAGTGCCGAAGGCAATGCCTTAGGAGAGATTACAGGCAATGGTAAGTCAAATATTTTTAGGTTAAGTGGTTGTGTATCTGGCTTCAGGCCGAAGGCCTGAAGCCTGATGTACAACCACTTAACCTAAAAATATTTGACTTACCATTGCTTGCAATCTCTTCATGCGAGTAACTTCTTCCTCATCCACGGGTAGGCAAAAATCAGTAGGTCAGGTTAGGTTAGGTTAGGTTAGGTTAGGTTAGGTTAGGTTAGGTCAGGTCAGGTCTAAGGTTTGATTAAGTGTCTTGTTACCGTGCCTACTGTGTAAATCTCACCCAGGTGCTGCGTGGTTTGACACCCAGGTGTGATTTACCCACTACCGAGCACACAGTGTATATCACAACCTGGTGAGATTTACACATTGGCTAGGCCTACTATGTAAATCACACCCAGGTGCTGCGTGGTTTGACACCCAGGTGTGATTTACACACTAGGAGCACATTGTGTATATCACACCACGGTGTGATTTACGCATTTGCCGGGCCTACTGTGTAAATCACACCCAGGTGCTGCGTGGTCTGACACCCGGGTGTGATTTACACACTAGGAGCACATTGTGTATATCACACCCCGGTGTGATTTACGCATTGCCGGCCCACTGTGTAAATCACACTCCGCGTGGTGTGATATACACAGGAGTAGTGTATTGTGTAAATCACACCCGGGTGAGGTTTACACTACAGTGCGATGCATTATGTAAATCTCACCGTGGTGTGATATACACGCGTCCAATTGAAATATCAATATTTCTCCCTTTCGATGTAAAGTAGATGGCCTTTGAGAAGAGATTGAGCGGATTGAGCTTGAGCTTTGGATGGAAGGAAGGGGTGAGTGCATTTTTTGATATGGTCCGGTCATTTCACAGCATTTTCTAGTTATTGCAATGTGATGCTTAAAACCAAGGCTATACTTAAAACTAACAATTGTGACATTGACATGCAATCACTATTATGGCTCCATCTCAATCTATACCTTTGCTCCATCGAGGGCTGGAAGGTTGAAACAGTTCAAGTTCAAGCTGTTTGTAGTTCCTAAATATGACCAAATAACAGCCTAACGTATAACGCCTTTTGGGGCGACTAACGGAGCGAGCGAGAGTTGCTCATAATTTTCTTTTATTAGCATTCTGCAGTTGATCAGCCTCTGAATGTTGAACTTGCGTGTCTGTGACCAAAGAGGCATTCGTAAATTGTAGATGACGTGATATGAAGAAATAGTATGCAGTGCTCTAGCAAGGAACATCAAATCTTGATATATGTAGTTAGAATTTCAAATGACATTTCCTTGATAATTGATTGAAAATGCAATAAAAGGCAAATATTATAGTGTTTGGCAAATTTTCAAACTACACCTCATTCTCAAGCCACATTAAATTGTGGCTTGAGAATGAACTGTTGTTTGAAAATTTGCCAAACACTATAATATTTGCTTTTATTGCATTTCCAATTAATTATCAAGGAAAAGGTAATTTGAAATCCTTACTACATATGACACAGTGATGTTAATTACGAGCGAGCGAGCGCAGCGAGCGAAGTGAGTCTTTTCAATATAACGGAAAAATCTCAGTATGAGCGGCCCGGCCCGGCCCGGCCCGGCCTGTAACGCTTTTGAGAGGCTTATATCTCAGCAACCGCTGGACCGATTGGCCTGCGGTCTTTTTTGTTGGGTAGCCCCATCCCTTCTACCCCGTGATTGACTACTTTTGATACATCTCAGTGACCGTCGTGGCACGTGCCACGTGAAAAGTCAAGGGCGTTCAAGCTGTTTTGCAAAAGTAATGATTTTGAGAGGCTCATATCTCAGCAGCCGCTTGGGCGATTGACTTGCGGTAATTTTTGTAGGGTAGCAGCATCCCTTCTACCAAAAATAGGATACTCTCGATGCATGTGGGTCACCCCCAGTGCACGTGCAAAATACAACAATAAGAGGTGTCAAATGTGTTCCCATTTTAATAACTCAGTAATTACTGGGGCGATTTCGCTGAAACTTGGCATACAGGTAGGCACCCACCAGGCAATGCATTCCCATGTGTTGCGGTTAGGGTGCTACTGCACGTGCGCACGTGCAGGGGGCGTTTCCAGATCTCGAGAACGGCTGGGCCGATTGCGCTCAAATTTGGTACACGGTTGGGGACCGGTTAGTAGGGTGCCGTGCAAAAGTCATTTTGGACCCCGTTTGCACGTGCGCACGTGCAGAATGCCGCCTCCAGATCTCAGGAACGGCTGGGCCGATTGCGTTCAAATTTGGCACACCGCTAGCGACCGGTTAGAAGGGTGCTTTGCACAAGCTCGTTGGAAGTACCCTCTCGCCCTTCCGCACGTGCAGGGCTCACTATCTCGCTCGCTCGTTCTTCGCCCAAAAGGCGTTTTACTGGTTTAGTAATATGCAGTGAATGACATTACATGGATGAATCTAAAAGGAACGTTAACATTAGCACTTCATCACCAATGGTGTGCTGAGATAGGTAGGTACTTGGTTTCCTTGTATGGCAAAGTTGAGAGCCAACAGGGCCATGCCTATTTATATTTAATGTTATGGTTTTTCTGCTCATGTGTTTTGAGTAATTGGCATGGTGTCTGGTGATTGATCATATTCATGCTTACAGGGCAATGGCAACATGTTTGTAAACAGTTTGTTTGGTTAGAAGCTGCTCTGACCTCTCACCTCAATCTATTGATAGTGGAAATTTATTATCATTTATTGGGACAATGTAGCTTAATTAGGTATGTACTTGTAAACTTTATTATGTAAAATAAATTTGCATTACACTATGCAACAAAAAATGAAATATTTTCTGTTCCTGGAAAGCGACCAAATTTTTCTTATTCATTGGGTCCTATTATAACCGAAATGGGCATTAGTTTTGATCTGAAAATGCTTTTCCGGTTTTCAGAGACGATTTTCGATTTTTGGCCCCGAAATTCGGTTTTTGGCCCACCGTGTCCGATGTAATTAAGTAATCGACTCGCGGTAACTTTCATCGCCTTTCCTATGCCACAAGCTTTCGAATGATATCCGGTTTTGCATATTTGCGTGTAAAAATAACGTCATAACTCTATGTTAAAGTAAGAAAATGTTGAAATTTTGTAAAAATTTGACATTTTTTTCGATTTCATTTCAAAATAGAAGAAAAAATAAAGACCCTATCCAAATTCTGAGCCCAGTTCCTTGATGAGCATTCAATTTCCGTTCGGAAGGTACCTTTTTAGTGCATTTTATCGGATTCCTGTGGCGTCCAGATTGAGTTAACCTAAACACATATCCTAGGTCATATCACATAGCATTAACCTGATAACGTATGTTAACGCCATAGGGTCAACGAGGGGTCAACTGAGGTCATGTTGTTGACCCCTTGTGACCTCGGGTCACACGCTGAGCAGTCCTGTCGCTCAGAGTCTTGATCTGTACCTCCATTTGTTAGAATGATTCTTCATGCACTAAACACATATTGTCATGGAAATGGCTGGGGGCCCGTTGTTCAAGTGACTCAATCTGGACGCCACAGTAAACCGATAAAATGCACTAAAATAGTACCTTCCGAACGGAAATTGAATGCTCTTCAAGGAACTGGGCTCAGAATTTGGATAGGCCCTTTAGTTTTTTCTCTATTTTGAAATGAAATCGAAAAAATGTCAAATTTTTACAAAATTTCAACATTTTCTTACTTTAACATATATTTATGACGTTATTTTTACACGCAAATATGCAAAACCGGATATCATTCGAAAGCTTGTGGCATAGGAAAGGCGATGAAAGTTACCGCGAGTCGATTACTCAATTACACCGGACACGGTGGGCCAAAAACCGAATTTCGGGGCCAAAAATCGAAAATCGTCTCTTGAAACCGGAAAAACATTTTCAGATCAAAACAAATGCCCATTTCGGTTATAATGGGACCCAATGAGTCCAAAAAAATCGGTCGTTACTCAGGAACAAAATGACTGTTGCATAGTGTTATTTATCAAGAAGGTAAATCTGCAACAGGGCCTCATAAGTGAATCAATCCAAAGACATTTCAAAGAGGCTCAGGCTAAAATCAGTGAAATTGAAGGCATTGCTTGCTTCCTGATAAGTCTCTTGTCAATTTCAGTTTCATCATTTAAAAATGAGACATACCACACAATCATTAAGGTGGCTGGAAAGTTGACAATTATTAAGATGTCACACTAACACCATTGGTAACTCTGCAGCACCAGTTGGAAACCCAGGAGTAACTTCAGCTAGTGAGGGCAGCTGTATTGGGTCCAGATCGTCCCAGCGGCTGTGACCGGTCCCACTCGGCGCCCAGCGGCTGCGGAAGATGGCAGCCGTGGAGGAGGTCACCTACTCGGCCGGCATGGACGCGGCCGCGCCGACGCCGCGTAAGCCGAGCGGCGTGCTCACCTCGTTCCTGACGGGCCGGCCTATGGAAATCCCCGAGCGAGACATCCTGGGCCGCTGCCGCTTCGTCTCTGAGTTCGAGAAGCTGAACCGCATCGGCGAGGGCACCTACGGCGTGGTGTACCGCGCGCGCGACACCCGCTCCGGCCAGATCGTGGCGCTGAAGAAGATGCGCATGGAGAAGGAGCGTGACGGCCTGCCGGTGTCGGGCCTGCGCGAGATCTCCATCCTGCTCAAGTCGCGGCACGAGAACATCGTGCAGCTGCACGAGGTGGCCGTGGGCCGCAGCATGGAGAGCATCTTCCTGGTGATGGAATACTGCGAGCAGGACCTGGCCAGCCTGCTGGACAACATGCAGACGCCCTTCTCCGAGTCGCAGGTCAAGTGCATCATGCTGCAGGTGTTCCGCGGCCTGTCGCACCTGCACCGCTCGTTCGTGGTGCACCGCGACCTCAAGGTGTCCAACCTGCTGCTCACCGACCAGGGCTGCGTCAAGATCGCCGACTTCGGGCTGGCGCGGCTGTACGGCGCGCCGGCGCAGCCCATGACGCCCAAGGTGGTGACGCTCTGGTACCGGGCGCCCGAGCTGCTGCTGATGGCCAAGGCGCAGACGACCGCCATCGACATGTGGGCGGCCGGCTGCATCCTGGGCGAGCTGCTGGGCCACAAGCCGCTGCTGCCGGGCCGCTCCGAGATCCACCAGCTGGAGCTCATCATCGCGCTGCTCGGCACGCCCAACGACCACATCTGGCCGGGCTACTCGCAGCTGGCCGCTCTCGAGAACTTCACCCTCAAACACCAGCCGTACAACAACCTCAAACAGCGCTTCTCGTGGCTCTCCAACGCCGGACTGCGGCTGCTCAACTTCCTCTTCATGTACGACCCGCGTAAGCGCGCCACGGCCGACGAGTGTCTGGAGAGCACCTACTTCAAGGAGCAGCCGCTGCCGTGCGACCCGCGGCTCATGCCCACCTTCCCGCAGCACCGCAACCTGAAGGCGGGCGAGGCGCGTCCGGGCGCGGCGGCCGGTGCGCCGGCGGTGACCACGGCGCCGGCGCCGACCGGCACCTCGGAGAGCGGCTCGGTGCAGGAGGCGGCCGCGCCGGCGGCACCCTCCTTCAGCGCCGGTGGAGGGTTCCAGCTCTCCGAACTGCTGCAGAATCTCAGCAAACGGCGCAAACTCGAGTGACGCACGGGACGTGCCGACTGAGTGGGGGTGGGGAATGAACATTGGCGTGACACTTACTGTGCATTGAAAACGCGACAGTGTGGGCAGATGTGAGTTCCTTGCCATCGACAGGATCATTTTCGGGTCCATGAGATGGAGTGCGAACTAAGTGAACTTTATGTGGGACGACTTGTCTTTTTCTTTTTTGCAGAGAAAGCAGAAATATGTACCGTCCTGGCCCTGTGAAGTCGTTCTGCCAACTTGCATGTAGATTGTCATTGTTCAGTCGATTGGAGGTGTTTGTATGCGCTACAATTTGATATCGAAGACGTGTGTGTAACGTGCTGGATGATCGGTACATCCCTGCGTATTACGTGTTCCTTGAATCCGCTTGATTTGATTTTCAAGAATGTTTTGTAATATAAATTGATGTCTCAAAATAAAACGCATCTCAAAAGTTTGTATGCATCGGATCGTGGCAGTTGCCGAACTTCAAGCATCAGAAATGTATCGTAAGAGTAGGATGCTGAAGAATAATAGATGGAAATGCATATTTTAAGTCCTTTTTCAAATTCGGTGCATTTTTGCCCCGTAACTTGTGTGAACCACCGAATTCATGATGGTTCTGGTCCAGATTCTGCTTCCATTGGCGTTCGATTGATCGGTACTTATGCCAGGGATGGTCTGATGTTGGTGGGAGCAGTCGCACCCAGTTCGCAGTGAAGCTCGAGGACGTTGGGTACGAGGGCGCAGACGGGCGCGGACGGAGTCTGGTGGTATGCCCGGTGTCATCCCGCAACAAGCTCTTCCCATCTTACAAAAACGTTCCGTCGGTCTATTCATCGCTCACACAGAAATCGCTCGCTTCTCAGTTGTATTATGCATATAATCGGACCAAGTTGAACGCGCACAAAATCCTGTAGACACGGGAGTATGCTACAGAACCACCACCATGATAAATTCCGAGTGTTATATTCGCTATCGCTCGCGATCTGACACTATCCCTGCCGCCCCAGCGACCCAGCCACTCACTGGAAGTGGCCGCTGACGGTTCAGCTCGGACCAGGGGATAAATGAACAGACATCAAAGATCGGTTAATGAACATTTACTGCTCTGGACCAGGGTGACAGGCAGGGAGATACTAGCTCTGCTGATAGGCAATATCTTCAACTTCAGCCAGCTAGCATCTCTACCATCATCCGGGTCCAAGGGAAAGGTATGAGACGTTAGAACAGACGATAGCAGGGATGACAGCGAGCCGGCCGGTCTAGGCGGAGAGCCGGCGCACATAGTCCATCATGTCCTGCACGCCGTAGGCGCAGGCGGCGAACTGGCGCTGGCAGGCGGCGGCGCCGCCCACCGAGCCCAGGTAGGCCGAGTAGAGGTACGCCTGGCGCGGCGTCTGCACGCGCTCCGGCAGGCGCGGCTCGCCCACCAGATCCAGCAGCGCGCCGGCGTCGGCGTCCCGCTGCGGCTCCGGCTGCGCCTCCAGCAGGCAGACCAGCTTGAGCGCGCAGCCGGCCGGGTCGGCCGCCGCCGACACGTCGAGCGCCAGCTGGCGGCGCAGCTCGTCGGTGTCGGCGGCGCGGCGGCCGCGGCCCCTGCCGCGCCGGCCGCCGCGCGCCACGGCGCCCACCAGTCCGGCACCGAGCGCCAGTCCGCCGACGCCGGCCAGCGCGGCGGCGCCCACGGCCACGCCGGTGGCCACCGTGCCCGTGGTCGTGGTGACGACCAGCACGGCCTCGGCGGCCACCAGGAGCGCGGCCAGCGCCAGCGACACGCGGAGCAGCTGCATGACGACTGGGAACGGCACCGCGGGTCAGAACAGAGGACGGGGTCAGAACAGCAGACGGAACAGAGCAGAGGACAGATCACAGCAGACAGAACAGGGACCTGCCTGTGCGAGCAGAATAGAACATCGAACAATACGAGTGATAAAGGCATCGGTTCGATGGGTTTCTTATCACTCGTATTTCAACACCGAATGTTTGAACCTACATACTTATTCTCTTCCCCTCACTCTCCCCCGCCCCATTTTCAGCCGCCTTCCCAACTGGGATGCCTCACCTGTAGTGGATGGGGAGGTGAGCGTCGAAGAGTACCTCGGAGGGATGTCTGTGCCGTCCGCCGTCCCGGGACTGTTTATATACGGGCCGGCGGGGTGGAGTCAAATCGGTGCGGTCGTCTAATAACCATGTGTGCGTACACAAGGTCCATTATAGAGCGCGCCGCGTCAATGCTGAGCCACCGGGCCGGAACCGGGAGGACCACACATACGGACCACACAGACATATATGTACAGACCTACCACGGAGACATACAGATGGACCATGACAGCGCAGAATAACAATTTTGGCACTGGTCGCCTTTGTTATTTCTATAATAATACGGATCCATTAGTGCGTTTTTTAGCTCAATTGTAGCTTGCCTATGTACTCCCGGTAGAGCGTCGGGCCCGGGGTGGCGACAGGGGCGTCGCCACGGCTCCCCAACTTGTACGGACACATTCTGTCAGCCGTAGCACTCGTCAGAGGCGTTAACCATGCGGGCCCGCGGAGTGTGTTTTTCGTCCTCGTCCTCCCCCCCCCCACTCCGGACGAATAGTTGCGGTAGCCCCCGAATGCCAAGGGGGTTCGGAAAAAAAATACAAACACATTTTTTTAATCTACATTACATTGAAGGTTAGATGGCAGTTCAGCGACCCCGAGCTGCGGCTTTTTTTGCATATTTCTTCAACAAAAAGGGTCTTAGACAGTGGTACCAACGCATTAGTCATATCAAGACGCGTCGAATGACGTAAAGGCTGTTTGAAAAGGTCAAGTTTTCTGTTGAACTCATGTGACCTCGAATGGTATTATGGTCTTTGGTTGACTTTCACACATGAATAGTCTCGTTTGCTGTATTTGAAGTCGCTGGTCACGATTTTTTTCATTTTCTTTTGCTCTAACATTATGAGCCTCAGGATGGCAAAAGTGACAGAATTATTATAGCGGACGATCAGTGAAATAGCCCATAGAAGGTGTAACGAAATTATCCGGACACCTTTCTTTCCGCTGTAAGAAACAACACAACTTGAGTTTTTTTCCTTTTGACGATGATATAGCCATTAGCCATCTTTCATAAGATCATATTTAGAAATGCCTGGAGCATTCCAGCTACTTGGTTTTCAAGCACATGTGGACCGACGCCGCATTAGCATGTGCCTACATACAGTTGATTGGTCCTGACGCCGGGTGTCCCTTTATTCACCTCCTGCTGGACAAAAGTCCATAACATCTCGATGGAATTAGGATGACAACTATTTCCAAGCCGTATCCCGTTAGTCCAGAAGGAAGGATAAGAGCTTCTCCCGGCGTCACTTTCCATTCTCCTACGGACGTATATGTAGCCCTTCAGCCTGCACGAAGGCAGCGTGGTTAGAATCAAAATTCAGTGCGCTTTTAGAAACCGAGCCCTCCCGTGCCGTCCAGTTGAGCGGCTCTCACTATTTGTCTGACAGGATGTTGCTCCGGTAATACTCGTCACTGATGGTGGTCTTTTGTGGCACAATGCACAGCTGGAACATCGCAAGCAGCTGAATATGCTCCAGATCTGGATCTTGGCCGGATGATTGACGCCGGTGACGGCCGGCACGTTTGAGTTAGGTACTGGCAGTCAACACAAGGCCGCTTTGACGATTCAAAGGACAATACAGAAATTGCGAACAGATATGGCGAAAAATATATGTCCGAATAATTTCGTTACACCCTAAATAGTAAATACTCTTGCGTGACATTGACTTTGGGGCGGCCTTGGACCGTAACTTTACCCGCAAATAGGGGACTGATAACGATAAGTTTTCAGCTACTTCAAAACATTTGCAAAGACTGCTTTGCAGTCGTCGAAACTTGTACGGACATTCCGTACAAGTTTCCGGGCCTTCCAAAACTTGTACGGACACTGCCCGTAGTGTCCGTAGTGGTGGCGACGCCCATGGGTGGCGAGACCCCAGGTGGGGCGTTCCACGACAAATCGACAAATAAAAAATTAAATTTGCACCCACACATCTTATTCTTCGTTGAAAACTGGTGTAAGGGGTTGTGATGGGCGGGGAAACCAGCTGTGGCAAGATTTTTTTTCTTCGAACAACGGTTTCCGAGATCCTCCCTCCTCGGGCATTCTTCGAACAACGGTTTCCGAGATATAGCCTCGGGCAATTCCTGGAGGTCACGCTGCAACCCTATGTTTGGCGGCTTATAACTCAGAAACTATTGGTTTTCTATGATAAAAACTTGATATTGTTCATTTAACAATCAACCAACAAACATTTTGGCTATCTCGGATTTTCAATTTTTGAAAATTTTGATCACGTGACCTTTTGACCTATTTTTCAAAGAGTGATCTTGATATTTTCCCCACTGAAAGTTAAAATTTTGTCTGATGACGATTAAAGCCTTATCAATTGTCATTCATATGCGATAATAAAAAAGTGGCTATCGCCCTGCGTTGACCTCAGGTCAGGTCATTTTTATGACCTGTCTATTATTACGAGCGGAAGCGACAGCGAGATCTCGAGAACAAAGCAAGATAGCGACAAGCGGTAAACGGCACAGGGTACACACGGCTAAGGTCTACAATTTTTATTGAGATCATTTTCAGGTCAGGTAAAAAATGACGTCACAGGGGCAAAAAGGAAGTCAAAATGGCGGCACTACATATCGACACCTTTTTTTAAACCCCACATTTGTTCTCCGGTGAAGACAAGTTGGTTAGAGACCTTCAAAAAAGGTACAATCACTCGATTTTTCTCAAGTTTGTCTGTCTTGGCAGATAAAGCAATACCAGAACAGGCCTACGAACACACATATTTGATCAGGATCGGACGATAGGACACTTTTAAAAGGAGATCTTTCGTGCCTCCCGGATATTCACGGGAGAGCAGATGTGGGGTTTAAAAAAAGGTGTCGATATATATGAAGTTTTTCTCGAATAACTTTCAAGGAATCCCAGCTAGGAACACACTAATAGCACTAGGGGAAGCCGGGGGAAGCCCGGGCGCGGGGGAAGCCCGGCCACCCCATTTCCGGCTAAATTATTCACAATAAAATGCTCAACTGTTTGTCCTTTCAGCGTGGCAGCTAAGGTAACGCCAGCAAAAAAGTTAAGGCTAACAAAAATTGCATATTGTTTAAGTTATAGCGCAAAAATGATATTTAAAGGGTTTTTAGCTAAAAAGTGAGATATGTTGCACTGTTAATGTTATACCATACAGTACTAATATTTATACGAATGTTATGTAAGGACCGTTTAAGTGTTTGTATGAGGGGTGACGAGGCAGGCTGGCTTAAGTATGACATTTTTTTTCGAATATCGCTGTTCTAAAATAAAAATTAGCACATTGGGGTAACCCCGGGCGAGTGGCCAAGCTTACCCCCAACCGAGAGCAATGCCACTAAACCACTGTTTTCCACGAGATAATAGGTACTGAGCAGGTTTGGTTTACACCTAGATCAAAGATAAATTTCGAAAATAAACATGTTATCATAGACAAAGCCAGTCATGTCACTTAAGGTCAACTAGGGTCAAACTACGTTTTTGCAGATAACGCGACAGACAATGAAGCTAGAGCTTCAAAAATGGTGTCGTTGTGTTCTTCATCAGCCGAGTCGAATGATATGCAATATGATGCATTAAGGTAAAAAGAAAAATAAATTTTAAGGAATTTTGAAATACACATTTTTGTCAATTTTGCATCACGATTTTCATCGACCTGTACTGTATATGTGGTAGACGCTAGCTAAAATACCAGGAGTGACATAAACTCTAAGATGTCCAGAGCTAATCAGTACCTTAATATTTCACTTTCCGTTGATATTTGGAAGACACATGATGGTTTCATCAACTCGTTGTAAAGCGCTGGGGAGGTGGCCGGTAGAGCACTTCACGGATAGGCTTTTTAGGATCCGGCCCGGCCCATATCCGGCAAGTCATATCCAGATCCGCCCATTATCCGCCTTTCTTTGAATATCAGAATCCGGCCCACCCATGGCCCGTATTGCAGCCAAACTTCCAAAAAATATCCGTAATATTCCGTTTCACCAATAACTGGTTTCACCCAAAACTGAACTAACAAATTCAATCTAAGGGACCAGACAGCCATACATCTCACAGACCATCATGGTTCCAAAAAACATGCTTATAAACCTAAAACCACATGAAAATCACCACATTGGTAAACTAGGTATCATCCTTCAATAGTAATACACAATTTCTCTAAGAAGTAAGAAGATAGGGAAGTTCAGGTAGGTCATCAAATGCATGTATGGTGGTAGTTAGTGAGTTACAAGTGCCCAACAGATATTACATAAAAATTTTGATCCGTTTTGATCCGGGTTCAACCTTCAATTCCCAAATCCGGCCCGCCCATATCCGTTCTTTTTTAACAAATTTAGAATCCAATCCTATCCGGTCCGCGGATTTATCCGTGGATAACGGATTTATCCGGCCCGTGAAGTGCTCTAGTGGCCGGCGTTACCCCTATGCCGGGCTTACCCCAGAAAAATCAACACTTTTTTAAAACTCGATTTTCTCAACCTTATAGGGGAAAGTGGGTGTATTGCGCCCTCCGAACCAATTGCGCCCGCCCACATTCCCACGAATTCAATGGCATGTTAAGTATTTTGTTTTCGAAAACATTATTTTCACCACTGGATAGTTCCTTTTATGGCCCAAGCTCTCCGATGAAGCCAATCAGCAAGGCTCATTACGCCATCAAAGATATTACGGCGTTTTCTTAACTTTTTTGCAGCATTTTGAACCGTTGGCTATAAAAATAGGCGATACATGTGTGATTTTGAGAGTGATATTTGGAAAGAAAATTTTTTTTTTTCATTATATTTCACTGAAACAGTAAACATCCTTCAGCATCTTTATCGTAACTTCTACGCTTTTATTAAATAGTACCTCAATTTTAATTGCGCCCATGGCAATTGCGCCAGGGGGGCGCAAATAGAATAATGGTGTAGCTATTGTATCACGACAGTATGAATGCATCATTAATTGATTGCAATAAAGAAGGAGTTTTATGTCAGACAGGGGAGCAACCCGCCATCGTCAGTCCAAAAATTATTTCTCTCATCGAACTTATAATGTAGCTGCCATTTGGGCTATGAATTTGCGGTGTAATTGACAAAATACGGCATTTTTAACATGGACACAGGCGTGAGAGGTGACAGCTATGATACATAGTAAAAACTGATGTCAAAAAAGTTGTAGAAGCAATAAAAAATAATAATTTTGAGAGAAACGATTGAAAATATAACCGTCTAGGCGAATACGTTCATATATATCTAGTCGGTTACATCAAACGTTTTCGTTCCACTTCACAAGCATACCGGACACAAGTCAAGTTAATTACCTGCGCAAAAAAACATCGCAATTTATATCTACATTTATTATGTA